TTCATTCCATGTTTAATAAAAATCTATCAGATTTTTTCACGCTACGAGGGAAGACACTTTCAGATATATAATCATTATTTTAACTTTGCGAGTAAGAAGAGGGACGTAAGATAAAAATTGCGATAGAAAATCCTTTCTTCTTTGCTTAATTAAGATCAGACTGCCGGTTTCATTCTGATTTCGTACTTTGCTTACACTTTGAACCTGAAGACGGAGGCGACATTTTCCTCCGAAATGCGGATTGACTTTCATTAGACTACATGTCATTGTATCGGAAAACCAGAAGTAATCATACCCACAAACATGAGAATCTTAGGTCATTCCATATCGTGGTCACAATGTCCCGCCTTTGGGATCCATTCGGTGCCAGGTAAATCCTATCCACCTCCTCACACCGTCTCTAAAATAAATGTTAATATTATCCTATATTCTATTTTTATTATTACTAATTTATTTTGTATTCTCCGACGAATACATAAGCATGTCCTCTTGACAGCGCTCTCTATAATTGAACAAGAATCCTTTATAAGATTTGAGGTTTTCACGGGGGTGACTATGAAGAATGCCGTCTTCTGGGATGTGGTGCCATGTGGATATTTTGTTAGCCGACGTTTCGGAAGAACGTATCGCCTCCTCGAGGGTTTAAACAATCCTCGAATTATGAACCAGCTTGAGCAGGTGTCTACAGACATTGCTCGTGGATTTCATATACCCTGAAGATGGAGGCAATACGTTCCTCCGAGACGTTGGTTAACAAAATAACTACACTGCGCCACATCACAGAAGACGGCATTCTTCAAGAATCCTTTACTCTGCCTGCTTGATCAGCCTATGCGTAAACTTTGAAGATGGAGACGGTACCCTCCTCTGAAACGTCGGTAAACTACCTAACTACGAAGTATCAAATTCCAGGGAACAGTGCTTCATAGCCATCGCCGTGGTAACGTCACTTCTCGCACGTGTACTTCGAATCGAACTCCGGATTTGCCATAAGTCCTTGACACTTGTTGAGCTCAGGATCGATATTATCGGGGAAGAGCAGGAATATTACGACCGTGAGCACTTCTGATATTAAAGCGGCATTGAATAACGTGACGATCACAGTCGCCGCGCATGAAGTGTCTTCGCTCGTTCGAACGCTGGGTTCGTGCGTTCGAATCCCTCTCAATGCATGGATGTCTATGTGTTTATTCTGTGTGTGTAGGTAGCGGCTTTATGACGGGCTGATTACTTGTCCAAGGAGACCTATCGCCTGTGTAAAGATAAAGTTGAAAGAGCGGCCAGGGCCCAACAAAGGGCTCTATAGCCGTTGATGATTGAATGAATTGAATAACATAGTTAAATTCATGCCGGTCACGATGGCTGGGCGGTCTAAGACATGTACTCTCTACGCTTGCTCGGAAGCCGGGTTCTTGGGTTCGAATCCCACACAACGCATGGACGTTTGGTATGTGTGTGTGTTTATTCTATATTTATGTTGTCCTTTGTTTAGGTAGAGGCCTTGCGACGAGCTGATCACTCATCCAAAGAGTCCTACCGTTTGTAAAATGATCAAAATGAAAAAAAAAACAACCTCGAAACCTTAAAGGTATAAGAGGAACGGATTAACTAAGAAAAATTCATGACAGCAATACTTTAAGTCATTTTGTATTGTACATATTCAGGAAACAGAAGGAAGATCAATAAGGTGTTTGAAGCGGTAACACCACAGACTTGAATTCTTAAAGTGCTCCGTTGGAATCTAGGCTGGAGCAACGATTACTCTTACTGAAATTTATCGTGATATTCCTCAGTTCAAGGTGAATGCCGGGTTAATACGTCAAATTAGGTCAAAATTGATTCCTTGCACATCCTCTCGAATGTATTATTCGATATCATCCTACCATTCGACGCTAAATAAACTGAGTTACTAACAGTGTTGGTAAATAAACCATAAATAATTAAAATAAAAATAGTAAGAAAAATGACTTATGATTTTATAGTGAATATTCTTAAGAAAATCGAGAAGTTAAAAATATCCTGTTCTAGAGAATGGAAAAGTTCATACCTGACTGAGTTTCTCATTTTCGCATTCTGATTTACATTTCATATGCATGAAGGCGCATGAGCAATGCTTTCGGCAGACAAATGAAGTTCTTCAAAATAAACTAGGCCCTGCTCATATACAGAGAAATATGAAAGAACGTCGGAGAGAAAGATCAATACAAGAACCGCTTCCAGTCTATGGGATGTCTGTATTGTACATAATTTACTGTTCCCAAATCGAGATTGAAGTTTTAAATGGGCCCTTCAGAGTTATATAGTTCTCTAAATTGTCATTTCTCTGCTGCAAGTTCTACTCAGGCCGTCTTGGCCCCATTTATCTATAATATTGCCCTTAAGAATTTGAAAATAATATCTAAAATACCTAGATTTTAACATTGGGAAAGATAAAATGTACATCTATCCCTGTTACAAGCCGTGGAGGCCCATAGGGTTGTGAGACGTCGAGACTCCCACATTTTCTAGACAATCGGCTCACAGATGGCGGTGAGGTTGTCAGCCTTACGCGCCGGCCGCCCTTTACCACCCAGAAATATTCCTGGTACTCATTCCTGTTAGAGGCTGAGTCGACCCCAAGGCCATAGTGCGGCTGGAAGGATTAGGTCAATTGAAGAAAATCCAATGGCATCATCGGGAATCGAACTCGCGACTTTCCGGTTTGTAGCATAGTGCCTCAACCAACTACGCTATCACGTGTCCCTTTCAACATTGTATTGAATAATGACAGTTCAGTTCATTTCGCCTTGTTTGTTCCTTAACTTAACAGCCGAAGGTCAATTAGAAAATAAGCACAAGTGAAGAAACAAATCAAAACACACATAAAATACAAAAACAAGGCAATTAATATCATTTCAATATAATAAACTCATTACCAGCGTATAAAGAGCGTTCCTGAAGCAACGGATTGGCGAACACGTGAGATCGAACCTTGGCTAGGGTTGTCCTCTACTGAGTCCGCAGAACACCTACATAATCCGAGAGCTACAGATAGCAAGAAAGCAGTTGGAACCTAGTCGTCATACGATATAGACAGAAGACAGTTGAGATCCAGCCACGGCCAAGGAAAGTTGAGACGTCGCATTGAAGTATTAGGCCAGAAGTCAAGTGACACTACAAGTGATAATAATTGTACAGTGTGTAAGAGTGAATGTTCAATAAAGATTCGCTAAATCCAAGACCCACGTAAAGTTATTTGTCGCGTGACATACTCAACACGTGACAACTGGTGTCAGAAGTGCTTTACGAACTTGAACACGCCTCGAAGAATAATCGATTTTACGAGTGCATCGACTATTAATACTGCCACAAAATGGCCGTACAGCAGTTGATGGAACTCCTGCTGAAAGAGATGAGGGCCTGGGTAGAAAAGTTGGATGCAGAAACAAGAGCTACCCAAGCAAGGACAAAAGCCACCGAAGCAAAGACGGCCGCCATGCGAGAGAAGAGGTTGGAAGCAAATATGAATGCCTGGCAGCAGGAAACGACAGCCTGCCAAGATGCAATGGAGGCAAATGTAGAGAAGTTGGAGACAGATCCAAGAGAAAAGAGGATATAGTGGAGCGGCAGAAGATTCCTAACGAAGAAACAGAGACGACGTCCTGCCAAGAGATGGAGGCACGTCTAGAAGAAGAAGAGCCGACCTCAGTGGACAGGAAACCTGAGGTGGCCCAACAACGAGAAGTCCCCGTTGAAAACGCCCTACTGAAACCAGTCAAAGTACGGAAGAAGCGGTATAGGGGCAAGAGGCAAGCCGCAGGGCAATGCGAGGAGCCAAAAGAACTAACTCGAGGAATTTGTGGACCCCGGAGGAAGTTGGCTGCCGCCTGCAGGAAGGTGTCCCGCCGTGCAACAGTGGCATGGCGCAAGAGGAACCTCTTCAGGAAATCGTCGACAGAAAGTAATTGTGGGCCGCGGAAAGAACTGGCCCTGAGAGAATAAGGATGTACCGTCGCGCAACAGCGTCACGACGCATGAGAGACATCCTCGGGCCGAACACGACCCACCGTGCCAGAGTGGCACGGCGCAAAGAAATCGCCAGAAAGGACTGGGCCAGGGACAGCGTACTGAGGGGAACCGTGACAGGACAGACGTCCGGGAGGAAGCGCCAGCCGCAACGGAAATGCAGCGAGGTCATAAGGAATCGAGATGTAGAGGAACTGCTACACCTGAGAGAGAAGACCGGCAATGTGATTTTCAGAGGAAAGATAGCCAAACAAGTAGTCGATACTTGCAACGGGTTACGGAAAATAAGAGAATGGACACTGTGGAGGGGTCGACCCCCTCAAAAACGAAAAAAAGGAAACGGCCCGCATGGGAGGAACCGGTAGTAGAAACACCGGCCTCCCTAGCAAGAGTGAACGAGGAAAGAACGAAAGTGAAGAATGAATGTGAGACAATGGAACCGACAACCGCTGGACCTTGGAAGTGCTCGGGGCGAGCACTCTGGAAGAAGGGGGACGGATGGAAGGAAGGCAAAACACCGATGAAAAGGAGGAGGTAACACGCGGAAGATGAACACCTTAGGAAAAGAAACCAAGGATTCACCGTTATGCTATTAGCATTTTGCCGAAAGAACAAAGGAAAAGTGCTTAAAAGGAGTGAGGATAAGGGATAATTTTTTCCATAAATGAGACACGGTTCTTCCGAGTACGAATCAGGAATGCAAACAGTTCAGTTACCGCATTGGTTCTTAGAAATAAATCATTTTGGTCCAGGTTCCGTCGTAAATGTTTATGATAATATAATCATCCGATTATCCGAATTGACAAATAATGCATAGTATGTGGAATATTGGGCTCTGTACTGCAGCTACTCGTCGATCTGGCGTTGGATAAGCCTACCCGTTCAGATAATTGACAATCATTTACGGATCGATTGCATTCTGTTGTGTTGCCCGAACTGTCGACGTGTGGACGTCTGATTAATTGGAAAGTAATAAGGTGAAATATTCTGCTTACCTGCGGTGCACACAGCACATTCATAGTAAATTCCAGTTCTTGGTGCAGGTCCGCGTTGTCCAGAAGGCCTTTCAGAACAACGTGGCCAATCAGATCGTGTCTTGAGAACCGGTCAAAATCGTACACAGAGAATTGCAGATATCGTTGCTTCAGTTCCTCGTATCCTACACTGAAATCAAACAGAATTACACACGTTAAATAGATCAACAATTTTTTTACTATTTTTCCGACAACATTTAAGATATTAACCTATTCTTTGCCGGTCACGGTAGCCGAGCGGTCTAAGGCATATACTGTCTTCGCTCGCTTGGAAACCGGGATCGTGGGTTCGAATCCACTCAGGGCATGGATGTTTATTCTGTGTGTGTGTGTGTGTGCGTTTTTATGCTTTTATGTACAGGTAGAGGTCTTGCGACGAGCTGATCACCCGTCCAAGGGCTCCTACCGAATGTGTAAGATCTAGAAAAATCGAAGTGAACGGAGGCCTAGGCCCACTGGGGCTGTAGTTTCAAAGGGGAGAAAAAACTATTCTTTATTAAATCATACGCCTTGATCACTCATTAGTCTATCTTTACTGGTGCTGAAAACCTGTGTGGGTCTTGGCCTTTCCCATAGTTACGTAACAGTAATATTTTTCCAAGGTGGGGTCGTTAACCCCACGCTCAACCCCGAACATGGAGAACCAGGGAATATACTTCGTCTGGCCCATATCCTTTGATATGTGTAGCATAAGTTGCTCTACCAGCAGCTTACGCTCCCGCCAGCATACCTCTCCTGGTCACTGGTGCTCGAAAACTTCCTACCCACGAGAGCACTGATCACTAAAATGGTGTACCTGGCAATTTTTTTTCGGTAATGAATGTACTTACCACTTATTACGAAGTGTGAAACAATGGTATTATTTAATAATTGTTTTTTACTTAACGACTCCTTCATTATTAAGACCATGTAGCGGGTCGATTATATAGGATGATTAATGAATCGGCTTGACACGTGACACTATGAAGCAGTTGGTGGAACGAGAATTGGAAAGGAAAACAGAAATACTCGAAGAAATCCCGCCCCTATGCCAGTTTGTCCACCACAAATTTCACTGACCTGGCCTGGGTTCGATCCCGAAACGCCACCTGAGCTATGTCACGGCCAATGGGAATGAACTTCATTCATTAGTAGAATATAAATATCTCACATCTATGGTTTGCCAGAAATTGTAAGAAAAATAAAGTTAGAATACAAGTTGTTTGATTTTATTGGGCATTTAACACGAAAGTCGAGACGTGTTAGGAAAATTTTGTGACCAGATCAGGAGCTAGCATATCAGAATTAATTTAAACAGCTTTTTTTTTTCTTTTGTGGCTTCAAAATCTTATGGAGAGGCGAGAAACCTCAGTCAGTATAGTGGTTTGCATCGGGCAACAAGCCTTGGTCTTCTGGCAGAATGTGAGTTGTCCTGAAACCACTTAGCCTGTTACTTAATGGTTCCGCTACTGCTATCCCCAAAATTGATGCTGACGGGGCTTAAAGCTGATAACACCCCTTAATCTTGTGTCAGGCTTAAGACCGAATGAAAATTTTACCTCCAGTCTCTTGTTAGGCTTTCATAATGTGGCGATTATATTGAAAAGTGACTTTGCTTGCTTTTCACTGCCACAATAAGTTCAGAAACGTAGGTATAGTCAGTGTCACGTAACTTCGAACAAGGCTCCGCATTCCTAGCCAAATTTCTTAACACTCGTTCTTCCGCTTTCGCCGACCCTTCGTGTTTCATTGAAACTACCCTATTCTCTTTTCGAAAAACATTTTACAATAATACAAATATACGGTCACTCGTCTTGCCAAGAAAAATACGTTTAATATATAGTACTAATCTATAATTTGAAAATTAAAATATAATAATTATATGTAATGAAGAAAAGAACCAATTATTTTCCTTGGCACTACAGCCCCAGTGGACCTCTGGGCCTACCTCCATGAACTTCTCCGTTCACTTCGGTTTTCCTAGATATTACACATTCGGTAGGACTCCTTGGGCGGGTGATCAGCTCGTGGCGAGGCCTCTACCTGTACACAAAGACAGGAAAACGCGCGCACACAAACTAAACATCCATGCCCTGAGTGGGATTCGAACCCACGATCCCGGTTTCCAAGCGAGCGAAGACAGTGCATGCCTTAGACCGCTCGGCTACCGTGACCGGCGAAAAGAACCTCTACCCTGACCTAATTTCTTACTCATTATATACGTTTTAATGCTCAAGGAAACTGACGTTTTTAAACAGATGATAGAAAAACCGTAAGTATAACCTGCTTCGAGGGTGCCCTACAAACAACTGGCCGCCTGTCACTTCTCACACCCTCGAACCCACCCCCTTGTCTGAAATTTTTCTTCTGCTCATTCAAGGTTACTCTTGGCCTAGTTCGAAGTTACGTACACCTGATGGAGATGAGTGGTTATATTGAGACCTCGGCGGCTTTAGCCACTCTGTTCACTGTGGATTCCCGAGGGCTGCTGAGCACTGTTGAGAAAGTAAAAATTCATACACCGGGAATCGAACCCTGATTCCTCAGTTTCCTGTTTTGTATCATGGCCTGTATAGTGGTTGAGCTACCTCGGTTCCATAAAGTGTTATAATTTCCTCACGACCTCAAATCAGGCCAAGACCACTTCCTTCCACATCTTTTTCGATTCATTATTTATTAATCACCCCATCATTCTGCGCTGCATCGACCAAGTTTGCTCTAGCCATAACGTGTCTGAGTTACATTCGGATCTTGTGTGATTCAAATCTCGTCTGGGAACACTGAAGATTATTACTGAAGTTGTTTTAGAGTTACCCAGCCCCTTTAGGAAATGCCGGGTTAGTGGCTTAAATTAGGCAACGATTTTTTCTTCCCTGTCCTCTTCAATTCTTTTTTCAGTGATCATGCCATTATACCCTACATCATCTGAGCTAATCACAAAGTCATTAAGTGAATCACAAAGAAATGGATAAATAAGATGTGAGGTTTTCACGGTGGTGACTATGAAGGATGGCGTCTTCTGGGATGTGGCGCCGTGTAGATATTGTGTAAACCGACGTTTCGGAGGAAAGTATCCCCTCCATATTCAGGATATAAAAAATCCTCGAGGAACGAGTGTGAGTAGGTCTGCAGTCTGCAGCCACCTGCTCACGCTGGTTCATCGCTCGCGAATTTTTATACCGTGAAGATGGAGGCAATTCGTTCCTCCGAAACGTCGGTTTACACAATTTCTGCACGGCGCCACATCCCAGAGACGGCATCCTTTAAACGGATAAATAAATCGCTTATATAAGACCTGAGCCATTGAGAGTAATCGCTAAGTAACTAAAGCAGGACATTAAATTCTGTACGTACTCACCTAAAGATGAACGTCTCGTTGAACACAGGGTTGAGGTTCTTGCGATGCACCTTCGTTTGGAACTTCTTCTTCCTGTCTGGCAAGAGATACACTTTGACATAAGGATCGCTACTGCCGCTGACATCCTTAACCGGAAGGTCCTGTGCTTGCAGCACCTGTAGGGTCAGAAGTTGTAGGTCAATTTGTTTATGATCTTAACAAACACTAGGCCTAATTATGCGAAATTCAGGCTGTGCCCTTAAATGAAGAGTGTTGTCTTCTGAAATACAGTTCCATGTAGTCCGTTGAAAGTCAACCGACATTTCGGATAATTATTATTTTTTATTTATTCTTACTGGGATGAGACACTCCACTTGGTACTGCGGCCACTTCTGGCCTATTTTACCAGTCCAAGATGATGGATGAGGGTGATTGTGGAGCAATTGGTGGAATGAATATTGGCAGGGGGAACCGAAATACTCGGAGAAAACCTGTCCCAGCGCCACTTTGTCCACCACAAATCCCACACAACCAGACCCGGGCTTGAACCCGGGTCGCCACGGTGGGAAGCCAGCGACTAACCGCCTGAGCTATGGAGCGGCCTGGCGTTTCGGCGAAAAATATTATCTTTTTCAGTCACCGCTTTTAAAGCATCAAATTCTGCATATGCCTAATTTGTCTTTTATATAGTACAGTTATTGATAAATTCTGAAATATTTAATAAATTAACATGAATGTTTTTCAAGAACTGTAATTAAGAGACATGTTTTGAACTAATTAGTTCTGTATATTGTAACAAATTCTGGGAAGAATGCATGACACCTACCTTCAAATTCTTCAGCTCATGAACTTTCATGAGACAATGAAGAATTATGAATAAATAATTATAAATCAACTATCCAGTATGTGAAAAATTCCACTGTAGAAATTCAACTTATCTTAAATTTGATAAATAGAATGAAATTTTTTCCAACCATTGTGGCAAACAGTAATATTTATATTTATTATCGTGTAAAATCTCTGTTTTACCCAAAATATGAATGTATGTTTATGATCTGTATTCACACATGTTCCCAAGGCTCATTAGTTACTAGTCACAAAGACAGTAAAGCATAACATTAAGTTTAATTTTCCACGAAGATTTTACATATTTAAACCGATGTTCAGTCCATTTTCCTTTTCATTTTCTGTAAGAAAATCATGTATGAGCTTCGTGCTACTAAAGGCCATGTACTGATATGGTGCTTGTGTGAATCACTGATGTTAGAGACAATCGCGAAATAGAGCTGGATTTATATCTTTCATTGTGATAAATATTGGAAAAATATTATAACCTCTTTAGCAAACTCATGTATAAAAATATAGAGCAATGGATGTACCCTTAGAAATCTGTGTTAATTATAGAAGAGTTTATAGCAGGAGTTCATTGTATTTTAAGACATGGTGTTACAGTAACAATTTATTATCTACCTTGGGCCTCACGATTTTAATTGTTGATATTTTATTAAGGCTATATGAGTGTTGTAGTTACGTCAAATAATGTGAAAAATCTTCACATATTTCTTGACAATTTCTCAAATTTATTTGTAAATATTAGTTTAAACTAAATAATTTAGTTGTAGAATTCTACATTTTATAGAGTGATAACGTATTTGCAAAATATTACATGGAACGCTCGAATATATTTTCAGGCTGTGGTTTAAGAACGTGCAATTTGCAGAAAACCAGACATTCTACAGCTCCTCCTGATAGGCCTGTTTAAGTGATGAACTCTTTCGGCTGTATTCAGATATCCAATTTTTTCTCTCATTTGTGTAAGTTACCAGTTCTTGGTTACCTTGACAACAAGTCCTTCGATTTCCGAGTCGTAGCGGAGCGCGAAATGCAGCTTTCCACAATATTCCATCTCCCCAGTGCCAGAACTATCAGAACTCGTCTGCCTGGCCAGCATCTCCTTCTTGTAGAGCTCCGGCTGTAACAGACCCAAGTGTCAGTTTCATGACCACTCCTGCGCCTGTCAGGACCGATATGCGCATTATTTTCTGGTTATCGTCACGCATTTATTTAGCTATAACTAGTAACGCATACCAGCCGATCACAGTGGCCGTGAGGTCTAAGGCATGGAATGGCTTCGTCCTGTCGGACACTGGAATCGTAGGTTCGAATCCCACTCAAGGCATGGATGTCTGTGTTTATTCTGTGATCTGTGTCAGGTACCGACCTTGCTATGTGCTGATCCCCCGTCCAAGGGGTCCTACTGACCGTCTTGGATTAAGAAACTGAAGTAAAACAAAGCGTTTCACGAATGCTCTATGTTCCAAGTGGGAGCAACAGGAATAGAAGAAGAAGAAGAAACGTGTATTGCCGGCACGGGATTACTAAGTTTTGGGATTTGTCCATCGTCCGGTGTTCTAAAAGAACACAGTGTTTTTAAAAGTTTATCTGTTTCCATTCTCAGTGGACTGGGGGGAGACACCTACTATGCTGGTTCCCTTAGAAAGAGCTAAACTCAGTCACTGGACGACCTGTATCAGTATAACTAAAGTCATTTATGCACGTAAGATCAGTACTTTTCAACGGCACAAGTTATTGAGGCACTATTCTACAAGTAGGAAGATCGCTGGTTCAATTCCCGATGAGGTCACTTGATTTTTCAATTGACCTAATCCTTCCAGGCCCACTATGGCCCTAGGATCGACCCAGCCTCTAACAGAAATGAGTAGCAAGAATCTTTATGGGAGTAAAGGGCGGCCGACGTGTAAGGCTCACAAATTCACCGCCATTTGTGAGCCGATTGTCTAGAGAAATTATGGGATCCTCGACGTCTCACAAACCTATGGGCCTTCACGGCCTGTTACAGTCATAGTTTAACTTTTTTTTTCCTTTTATACTATGATTTAGGGCCAGTTTGCCGTGCGACTCTTATAGTTTTCATACTGGCATGTTTTCTTTTTTAGACTACTTTCCTTATTTTGAAAGAAAATAAAACATATTGTTCTCTGTCTGTCTGTCTCTCTGTATGTACACCCCTAAATTTGCTAGGTAACGGCTGAATGAGCGAGTCGCCACCGCAACGAATACACATAAAACAGTAGAAGAACTCTTAAACGCAGTGTCTTCTATGCAGTCCGTGTTGTATCAATCAGTATAGAGTGAAAGGAGAGTAGGCGATTTTTTTTTCTGTGTGTATGAATCAGGAAATTGAAATCATAGAAACACAAACGTAAACTTTTGAAATAAAGGAACAGGACACACAGGGTCTAATGTTAGGGTTCGCGTATTTAAGCCGGACTGCTGGCTAGAAGTCAGTTTGTATCCGGAAGGTCCTGAGACCGGCCAGCTCGACCAAGGTTTTCCGTGGTTTTCCTCGGTACTAGAGCAAATGCTGAGTTGGTACCCAAATTCCACGTTGCGCTGAATGCCTCACATGCAGCCCTCCCATTGTCAACATCAAAATTTCACCTTAATATAGCCCTCCCAACGTTATCAAAAAATTAAAAAGAAATCCGATCATATGCTCTATCTTTACCAGACGGACAAGCGGGCACTGCCTGGGAACCTTAAAAATCGGAGATATAGTTTCTTCCCCCCCCCCTAATGTAGTGTCACTCACTACCACCCGCACTTCTTCTCTTCTCTCTCTCTCTCAAAAGTAAGCGATTGGTTGTTTCATGCTACCAAGTTGGTACACCAGTCCGGCAAACAAACATCTCATCTTCAACCGGCGATGCTTGTCACATTGCAAAGAGAACCACAATTGGAAGCGTAAGATGAATGCAAGATAAGAATATCCCGGTAATGATTTGGGGGTGGAAGAGACTTCAGTAACTTCGTTCTCGGAGCCTTTGTGGCGTATGTCACTTTCGCTCTTTGTGCAGGTTGAATTTCGCCTTGTTTTGTTGCCTTCCTCACGTGTTGATGTTCCTTCCTTTTGCTATGAGAATCAAGCGTGCAATTTCTGTTGAAGAGGAAATAGAGTGTCTGGTCCTCATGAACTGTGTGGGATTTGCTTATGGCGCAACGGCAATCCTTGGAACTGAGAGCAAATTAACGCCTGTCAAACAGAACGTAGACTTAATGCAGCACAGTTATGTCGGAGAAGTTGCCTGAACAGCCAGTACTCTGTTCGCTGACATGTACTGGACCAATTCCAAAGCTCGGCACGCAAGAAATATAGGCTGACAGAGGAAAGTGTAATCATCAGATTGAGTCGTCAACTTTGTATGCATCATTTGTACCATATTTAGAAAATGAATACATGATGATGAGGTTGTAGTGTATGTTCTTCTCCACCTCTCATTTCAGAAAATATTTGATGCATTTCAATAAATATTGTTATTCAGAGGGATACAATGCATTGTGGCATAGTTGTTTCATGCAAGGATGGTTGAGCCAAGAAACAACCAAGAAACACCCACGCGACAATGGAACAAGTGTATTATGCAACCCGGCAACGGCTCGGTAAACATATTTCCGCGTAGGCAAGGACGTCACACAACAGTGGATAGCGACCATATGACACGTTTTCTATAGGTCCGTGCGTAAGGTTTATAGAAAAAACAAAGATCGTTTGCGGGCACTCGTAAGCTTGAGGAATGAGTAATAGACAGAATTTTAGTTGAGTTCCGAGATTTCAGGGCGACTGAACAAGAAAGGACAAAAAAGGTTCATAGAGATTTGAAGTGATAGTTTCTGTGCTGAGGTTCGTTGTTAGGAGACGACTAGTGGAAACTGAGAATCCTAGTTAGTGTGTGTGTGTGTGTGTGTATCTTGAACTGTAAACTGTGTAAAACAGTGATAGCCCTGTAGTAAATGTAATTGAGAGAATTTGTAACCGAAATCCTAACAAATTCAAGCATCCGAATCAGAGTCCGTTATTTTCGTCACGCGTACCCCCTTACACGTGACAACATATTATTAGAATTTAATTTGGCTTATAATCTTCGAACTTAATGGATGTTCTCAAAACTGTTTGCTTCACAAGAGAATAAATATACCTTGAATTAAGTTGTTTTTTTAAAGTGTTCATATAACATTAAACATATCGTAACGTTATACAGTTAACATACTGATTCTGTAGCCAGATAAATGTAGGATCAGAGAAAACCCCCAAAAATCAAGGATGTCTAAATATGCTGCTGATGTGGGCTATCTCATACCTCATATGGAGCAAGGGTGGAATGGTGATTAAAAAGGGGAAAACTGAAGATGCTCCACTTCGTCCATCACGAACCTCATATGAAGTCTTGAACCCGAGACTTTACAATGAAAGGTCATTGTATAACCGCCTGGGCTTCATCACGATCCTAGATAATAGGACGAATATTTTCCGAAATACAAGAAAATGAATTTCCGACTCTTAGGAATTGAATCCGTAATGTAATTAGCTTATACGTTGTACGTTTATGTGTGTAATAAATTATCGTAAATAATAATGAAATAAAGTTTCAAAGAATGCATTCGGCATGCACAGTCCCTTACTTGATGTATTTATCGGAGCCGACATGTCACTATGAGGAATATATCATGGAATAGGCTCAAAGATATTTTGAAGTTATTGTATCCACTTCGACTCAAAGCGAATGCCGAAGCAGACGCCCAGAACGACGGTGATGTATGTAATGAAGACAATTATGTCGACGTTATGGCTAAGGGAACGCGCCGGTAATATCAGCAGACTAGGAAACCACTAGAAGAAATTTAATTTGAAATTACAATTCGTTGTATCCACGCGACTTACGTAACGCTCGCAGGAAATTCGTTTGTGTGTACTGAACATATAGGGTATGGCGTGTGTGTATCGGGATAGCGAAATACGTGAACAAGAGAAGCGTGAAGTTCTCAGAACTGGGTTAAGTGTTCTTTATTGCTGACTTATCAATGATTGTCTTCGCTAAGTACAACACAGTGAGATGGAGTGGAGCAATCAAGGGAATTAGTTTTCCCCTCCGTCTGTCTATTTGTTTTTTATTGTTACAAAACTCCAGAGTTTAAGAACATCTAGTGTATATCGACGAGCAGTGATCTTTGTTTGGAACCTACTGTAACGAAGTACAGTCCACGTGATCACCCTCACGTAACAGAAACTTCTGATCTGTACTCATCCAGTTGTGTCGAATTCATACTTCAGATCTGATTGTCAAGGATTAAACGACAAATTTCATATTGTATCAATAGAACATAGGGGCACGCGGTAGCGTAGTTGGTTGAGGCACTATACTGCAGGCCGGAAGGTCGCGGATTCAAGTCCGGATGAGGTGGATTTTTTCAATTGATCTAATCCCTCCAGTCGCACTATGGCCCTGGGGTCGACTCAGACTCTAACAAAAACGAGTATCAGGAATATTCTTCGTGGCAAAGGGCGACCGGCGCGTAAGGCTGACAACTCTACCTCCATATTTGAGCCGATTGTCTAGATAATGTGGGGCCCTCAACCTCTCACAACCCTATGGGCCTTCATGGCCTGTTACAGGTATAAATTTACCTTTTTACCTTTACCTATCAATAGAACATAAACATTGACATTTTAGTCGTAACTTTTAAATTCAGTAAATTATTGTGTTAGTCTACAGCCATTTATCTCCACAAAGCTGAATCCGTATTGAGAAACCAATAATTTTTCCGCCGCTTAAAAATGAACAGAATGTTATGGAACCCGAAGGTAAATCACCGTGTTCATGAAAGAATCTCCCTCGTCCCTACCCTAAGTCAGATGAAGGCCGCGCCATAGCTTAAGCGGTTAATCGCCGGCTTCCCACCGCGGCGGCCCGGGTTCGATCCCGGGTCTGGTCAAGTGAGATTTGTGGTGAACAAAGTGGCGCTGGATTAGGTTTTCTTCGAGTACTTCGTTTCCCTTGCCAATCTTCATTCCACCAATTGCTCCACAATCACCCTCACCCATCATCTTGGGCTGGTACAATAGGTCAGAAGTGGCAGCAGTACAAGGAACTTAATCCCACCCCACTAGCAATA